TGCACCTCGCTCAGCCAGTGAGCGGCCAGTCTGTATGTGGGATCTGAACCCTTGGCGGGAGTGCCGCCACGCTCCCAAGCGGCGCACTGTAGCAGTGCGCCACCAGGCCGGCCTGAAATATCAAGTCTTAAATGACCAACCCACTCCCTTTAACTTCAAAGGATTCTAAAAAGCCAAGAAGTCTTCCCTCCCTGCTAGAATCGACTCTAACCGGCCAAACAGAACAGTCTGACATCTTTTCTTTTTGTTGTTCCTTGATTTTTTAATTGTCAAATTATTACACTGAATCAAAGGAGAGAGGGAAAATCATACATAATCCCATAAATCAATCGCTGATGTCTTCATGTACCAGTTTCTCTCACCTGTAAGTGCACATTTAAAATAATTTTTTAGAGTTGCCCAAATAAGAAGTGTATCACTAGGGAATGAAATGCTACAGGTTTAAAACAGAAAGCAGACATCTCCTGCCGCACCCTACCCAACAGTCGCTCATCCCGAGCCACTTCTAACCATCTCTGTCCTAGTTCTTCTTGAGGTTACCTCTGTAACTCTGATCTTTGATCGCCTTCAGACTTTACTGATTTCTTGATCTGACAGATGAGGGTTTGACTCACACTACCACTCCTTCATTTGCTTCCAATGTTTGTCATCCACCATTTTGAGCTCTAATTTCAGTATCCTAAACAACCTTGCACATTATATTTAAATGAGAATACAGGGATACTCCTCTCATCTACTTCTCTTTGCTGTTCTACTTTTCACTGTCCGCAGGCTGTGCAGTTACTGTTAGTGACAAGACTAACAACAATAGTGCTCTACTCTATTGCCTTGGGTCACAGCTATGTGTTTTTTTTTTCCTAAAAATTAAAACAAATGCCTACCATTTATATCATTTCTATGCAAATGCCATTCACTGAAGGGCCGACACAATCTGATTGCATTTCATCCTCTTTCTTTCCAATTTCATAAGCCCTTTGCCTCCCCCAGGAAGAATTATTAATATCAGTCAAATGAATACTCCTTTGTAAAGTCTGTTTCACATTTGGCATATAACCATTTTGTACAATTTGTAATTCTTGCACAATTAACCTTTAAGTCTTTCATTATGACTTTAAAAAAAAATAGAAGAAACATTCCTTTTCTTTAGAAAAACCATATTCCTTTCTTAGTTTAAAAACTATGTTCTCTCCAGAAGCTTCTGCCATCTCTTTTTAATCCTGGTGTTCTTAATTTTTTATGTCAAATGGATCTATTAATCCTGAACAGTACTTGGCATGATCTGAAGATTTCTTTTCAGCCCTGAGGATTTTTCCCTTTTACTTTTTCTTATTTATTGGTCCAACAATCTTAATTTTAAAGTCTGTTCTGTTCTCATGTTTTTTTTTTTTTTCCCCAGAGCATCTTTATCTTATTTTTTATATGCAACCCTTTTTTGAGACTCACTTTTAAGATAATAAGGTTCCCCTTTTCTTTGTTTTATCTTAAATTCTTTCTTTCATGTTGGAGGCTTTCTTTAAGTTTTTTGCTCCTTGCCTCCCATCCATATTGAAGAGATCATCACAAAGCAGAGAGGAAGCTCCATGGATGGGTGGGGCTGGTTCATCAGCATGATTTGCTTTAGAGTAAAAAGGGCAAGAACCAGCTATTAGGATAAAAGTCTTGAAATGCTAGAACAAGGCAGCCCTTACTCTGGAGCAAAATAACACTAAATTCCTTCATCCCTTGGACTAATTTTTTAGCAAACTCCTTCCATACTTCATTTTTTTGCACACACGCTGATAGTTAATGCCAGAAAAGAAAAAAGAAGAAAAAATGGGGGGAGGGAGGAACAGTCTCAATTTCATGGACAGACCTTTAATTAACCCTGCTTTCCCACCCCATCTGTCACTCTACTGCTCTGCTTGGGGGCCACAACCTCCACTGCTGCATCCTTTCTTCACACGTTCCCAGCCTCAGCCTTCTCCATCCTGCATCTTCAGGTTATGCTCTCCCATTTGCTTTCACCTTGCTTAAAATTTCAGGCCTGGCCTCTCCCACTCTGTTCACTGCTGTTGATTTACACTTCCTTCTTTCAGTGAACATGTTGCTGAGTTGACCTACTTAACCAAGCATGCGCATACAGGTTTTTATGTGGTTGTAACATTTTGTGTACATACTACTTTTGGTCCTGCTTTCACTTCACCTGATGGAGTATTTTCCATATTGCTGTGTGGCCAATTTGGATTATAGTCAACCTAAATGAGCAACCTTGACCTACTTAACCAAGCATGCGCATACAGGTTTTTATGTGGTTGTAACATTTTGTGTACACACTACTTTTGGTCCTGCTTTCACTTCACCTGATGGAGTATTTTCCATATTGCTGTGTGGCCAATTTGGATTATAGTCAACCTAAATGAGCAACAAAGTAAAATTAGAGCACAATAGAGTCCCTGAAACATTCAGTCTACTTTTAATTCCAATAATAAAACCACCTGCAATACTTCTCAGGGTTGGTTCTTCTGCAATTTGTGTTCAGAATTGTTAGTTTACATCGAATATGGTTGGCTTCATATTCCATCACTCAACACCAACTTCCTCATGCAAGTTTCTTCTTAGACTGAGTAGTCAGGGCTCTGTATCAAGAATATCTTCCATTCCACCATCATTCCCAGGAATGTGTTATGGGGACAATGTCTGGGTTGTTATCTGTACTGAAAAGATTATCTGGAGGGTTCAGCTTCATCCTGAGTTTCCTAACTCCTGCTAACAGCTCTGATTAGAAGCTTTTCATCAGTGGTCATATTCAGCTTCTCATCTAAATGCAACAGTAGACACATATTGTGTGCAAATGAGTCACGCTGCATTTAGGACTGCAGGTCCTGGGGTCTCACTGCTAGAGATTCTGATTTAGTGGACTGGGGTGAGCTTGGTAACATGGTTTCAGCACACACTCCAGGCAGTTCTGATGAATGAACGTGGTCATTAGACCCCACTGTGAGAGTCACACCTTGGTTACCTGAATTCTAGAAAGAGGGTCTGACACGGGACTTCGCCATCTTGATTACTCATAGGGTTTCCTGACCATGAGTTTTCTCATGTTGAATAAGGGATGTATTATAACTGAAAGCTTTCCCACATTTATTACATTCATAAGGTTTCTCTCCAGTATGAATTCTCTGATGCCTAGTAAGTTGACACCGCTGGCTAAAAGCCTTTTCACAATGGTTACATTCATACGGTTTCTCTCCAGTGTGCGTTCTCTCATGTTTAGTAAGGGTTGACCGATCGTTGAAGGCTTTCCCACAATCAATACATTCATAGGGCTTTTCTCCAGTATGCGTTCTCTGATGTTCAATGAGTCGTGACCGCTGACTGAAGGCTTTAACACACACATTACACTGATAGGGCTTCTCTCCAATGTGTGTCCTCTGATGCACAATGAGGGGTGACCTCTGGCTGAAAGCTTTTCCACAATGACTGCATTCATAAGGTTTCTCCCCAGTATGTGTCCGCTGATGCACAACAAGCTGAGATCGTTGCCGAAAGGATTTTCTGCAATCATTACATTCATATGGTTTCTCTCCAGAATGAATTCTCTGATGTGAAAGGAGGTGAGAGCTCCCAGTGAAGGCTTTTCCACACTGGTTACATTCAAAAGGTTTCTCTCCAGTATGAGTTCTCTGATGCTCTACAAGATGAGAGCTCCCAGTGAAAGCTTTACTGCACTGACTGCATTTGTATGGCTTCTCTCCAGTGTGAGTTCGCAGGTGCCTGATGAGCTGAGTACTTCGAATGAAGGATTTTCCACACTGATTACATTCATAGGGCTTCTCTCCAGTGTGAGTCCTTTTATGTGCAACAAAGTCAGAGCTTTGGCTGAAGGACTTTCCACAGTGAGCACACTCATAAGGTTTCTCTCCAGTATGAATTCTCTGATGTACAATAAGGTTAGAGTTCCACCTGAAGGATCTTCCACATTCATGACATTTAAATGGTTTTTCTCCCGTGTGAGTTCGTTGATGCCTAATAAGTTTGGAACTCTGAGTGAAGGATTTCCCACACTGGTTGCATTCATAGGGCTTCTCTCCAGTATGTGTCCTCTGATGTATGACAAGGTCATAGCTCTGACTGAAAGATTTCCCACACCAAGAACATTCATAGGGCTTTTCTCCTGTGTGTGTTCTCTGGTGTATGACAAGCTTAGAGCAACAGCTGAAAGATTTCCCACACTGACTACATGCATATGGCTTCTTTCCAGTCTGAATGATATCACAGTTGGTAAAAGATGAGGCCATCTGGAAGACATCACAGCCCTCCTCACATCTGAATGGGGTCTCTCCAGGGTCACGTCTTTCCCTTTGTACAAGGCACAAACTCTTGGAACAGGCTTCTCTACATTCATCACACTCATACTGACTTCCTCCAAAATATATCAGCTTGTGTTCATTCAGGGACACGCTATGACTAAAGAGGTTTCCATACCCCTTACACTCAATGTTATTGTCTGCTGAAAAAATTCTATCATGAAAATGATGGGAAGTACCATAGTTGAGAGAGTCACCACTGACAATATAGTCATCATAAGGTTTTTTATTTCCTGTTTCAACATTTCCAAGTTTACTCAAGTAAATGCTCTGACAGAAGACTCTAGCATGGTGATGGTTTTCATAGGGCTTCAGACCTGTCCAGCCTTTTTCATGATTAATGAAAGCCAAATTTTGTTTAAACTTTTTAACCTGTAAGTTGAGCTTACTGAAATGTGTATTTGTAGGTAATGCTGGAGGTAGAAGGTTTAAACTCCGAGGATAACTTCTCTCAGGTTCATGCTCACAATGTTCCCCTTGAGCAAAGAGTCTCTCTGAGGTGAGTACCATCTGAATCAAAGAGTCCTCCTGCTGTTCCCCCAGCCAGTCCCTCTGATCTTGCATTTTTCCTAAGGACACGGACCAGGGGCACTCCTCTTGAGTGCAACATTTCATTTCTAAGTAGTGGGATGGCTCTTCTTCAATGTTATCTTTTTCGGAAGCTGACCCTTTCTTTTCTAGTGTAGCCTTCCCATCTGAAAGAAATCCAAAATCCCTGAATTACTGGAGAAGCATCAGATGGGGAGGGTGAGATGAAGGGGACCACCAAGTATGGGAAGTATCTCGGGGTTTACTTCTCTTCCATGGACTGTAATCTGCATGCAGGCTATGAAAGGGAGGGATGGATCAGCAAACATGAAATCAGTTGGTAAAGTACAAAATACAAGTAAAGATAATTAAATGATGACCCAGGAAGACTGGTCACCAGAGAGAGGAGAGAGATAAGAATAAGCAAGGAAGTGAAGATTAAAGAGGAAGTCCACAGAAAGAATTGGGGTTGCAGGTTATCAAGCCCTTAACCACTGCAAAAGATCTGAGGATACTTCAAAAAGTTCATGGAGAGGTTTGTATTATCTTTTAATTCCATTTCCCATGAAATTTTGAAGTACCCTCCTATGTATGTCCTAATCCCCTGAACCTTGTGAATGTGACCTTTTGGGAAAAAGGGACTTCGCAGATGTGATTAAGTTACGGACCTTGAGATGGGGAGATTATCTTGTATTATCCAAGCATGCCCTAAATGCCATTGAAAGTGTCCTTATAAGAAGGAAGTAGATGGAGATTCGATACACACAGGAGAAAGTGATGAGAAGACAAAGCAGAGAGAGATTTGAAGACTGGAAAGCCATGCGATGCTGCAGCCAATGGGAGAAGGAAAGGTAAGGAATGGACTTCCCATTTGAACCCTCCAGAGAGAGCACAGACCAGCAGACACCTTGATTCCATCCCAGTGATACTGATTTCAGACTTCTGGCCTCCAGAACTCTGAGAGAATAAATTTGCATTGTTTTAAGCCACCAGCTTGGTGGTAATTTGTTATAGCAGTCACAGAAAAATAATATGGAATCCTAACCAGTGCTTCGTCCTGGATTATTGATGCAGAATCTCAGTTAGTCTATGCTCCAGTTTGGGATCTCATAATAGCATCTCAAACATCAATATTGATTTAAAATTCTTAATGCACAAGTCTACCATTTCTTCAGGGTTCTCACAGAGATAGAAACTCTTTTTAAGCACTCCAGCATTGATCCAAAAGACTCCCCAGAAAAGTGCTGTGGTCCCTGAAGCAGTGTGGTTGGCCTGACTGGGCTGCAACTGGGCTTCAGGATGTGGCTCCATCAAACAGGTCCTTAGCTTCTCAGAGGTTCATTTTCCTTGGCGGTAAGCCAGGAATAAGAACGTTTAATTTACAAGATTTACTTTGAGGAATAAATGAATCAATATATTAGCCTCATAGAGGGTCTGGCACTGCCAGTAGACAATACTGTTGACCTCATCATACTTGTTATTGTCCTAATGTGGATTCCTTTCTCTGTTGAAGATACTGGGCCTCTAAAAATAAGTGTTAGAGACTCCCAGCTCAGAATCCTTGTCTAGGTCCTCCTACAGTCCTTCTTTACTCATCACTCTGCCCATTTTGGTTGTGTAGCCACCCATGGCTAATACTACCAAGGCCTCTGCTAAAGTCCACACACTTTGCTCACCATTCCTACAAGGAGACTAGGATCTTCTGTTTGGCAAAACATTAACTACACTCTCTGGCCACCACTTGAGTTCTGGAAGGACGTTTCACTTGTGTCAAACAAAGACCCTTTGTCACTCTTGGACAAGGTTCTTATCTACACCCAAAACTGTTCTCATCCTCAAGACTCTGCTTTGTTCCTCTGGGGAGTCACTTCAGAATCCCTGAAGGAGAGAACTTATTCAAATAAGACAATGGCCTGATGAAGGGATATTTGGGGATGAGAAGAAGGAAAGAAATCTTTGGGTGGCTAAGATGTTTCCAGGTTGTGCCTGGCCATTGAAAACTGGGCAAAGGAGGTTAAATATCCTATAGCAGCATATCTATCAGTATCATGAAATGAGGAAGCCAGACCATCCATGCAGGTCAGCTAAGTAATGTCTATGTAGGACAAGAAGAAAGATACTGACAGTTAACAGAATTCAGAATGATGTCACCTGAGGTGTGGGTGTATGAGGGGTGTGGCCCAGGCAGGAGGCTGAGGATATGTAATGTGAATGCAACTTTGAAGGAGGAAATAAGAGGCTGCAGGTGAGAGAGTTAGAAGGGAAGAAGGAGCAGGAGGACTAGAGATAAATTCAGATAAAGCCAATACCTCCAGCCTGGGGGGAAGGTAACAGGGTGGTGTGAAGGATGCATGTGATGCACACTGCTAAGTGAAAGCAGCCAGTTGGAAAAGGCTACATACTGTGTAATTCCAACTATATGACATTCTGGAAGAAGAAAAACTACAGAGACAGTAAAATCATCAGTGTTGCCAGGGACTCCTACATCCATACAATGGAATACTGTTCAGCTCCCCACCCCCGCCAAAGAGCTATCACAAGCCATGAAAAGACATGCAGGAACTTTAAATGCATATTACTAAGTGAAAGGAACCAAGCTGAAAAGGCTACATACTACATGATTCCAATTATATGAAACTGTGGAAAAGGCAAAACTATGGAGAGAGTAGAAAGACCAGTGGTTGGCAAGGGTTAGAGGGGAGGGAGAGATGAATAGGTCAGCACAGAGGATCTTCAGGGCAGTGAAACTGCTCTGTATGATACTACAACGGTAGATACATGTCATTATACATTTGTCTAAACCCATAGAACATATAACACCAAGAGTGAACCCTAATGTAAACTACGGACTTGGTGATAATGATGCATAAGTATAGGTTCACTGACTTTATCAAATGTACCACCGGAATGCAAGATGTTTGGCAAAGTGGAAACTGTATGTTTGTGTATGTGTGTATAACGGAGGTGGGGGGTACGTGGGGAGTGGGGACGCGGTATATGGAAGCTTTCTGTACTTTCTGCTCAACCTAACTGTAAACCTAAAACAGTTCTAAAAAACAGACTATTGGGCCGGCCCGGTGTTCGGATCCCATGTGGAGACCGGTTCCCACTCACTGGCTGAGCGCGGTGCGGGCGCAACACCGAGGGTTGCAATCCCGTTGCCGGTCCCCGGTACTGGCGTGGCACTGAGGGTTGCGAGCCCGTTACCGGTCAGTAAAAAAGACAAAAAGGAAAAAAGAAAAAAAAAAAAACAGACTATTAATTAAAAACAAAACAAAACAAAAATCAGGAAAAGAAGCCCAATTAGTTGGGGTGATGAACATGTTATAAAATTAATTGCAGCAAGCATTCCACAACTCAGGAAACATATAGAACCCTTTAAATTATGTACTTTATAACTGTATCATGTGTGAATTATATCTTGATAAAGCTGTTAAAAAAAAAAAAAAGAAGAATACTGCTGTGGGTTGATTGAACTGTGTCCCCCAAAGTCCATGTATTAGAAGCTTAATTCCCACTATAACTGTTGAAGGTGAGAAATCCTATTATGGTAATTGAAATGTGGGACCTTGAAGAGGTGACTAGATTGTAGCACCATCCTGTAATGAATGGATTAATGATGGTGGTCAGGGGTGTGATTTGGAGGGCTTTAAAAAAGGAGAGTGAATGAGGTTAGTTTCTCTCTTGCTCTCTCTGCTCTTCCATTTTGCAATGTGATACCCTGCTGTCACTGAAGACACCACAAAGAAAGCGTTCACCGGATGTGTTCCCTGGACTTTGGACTTCCTAGCTTCAGAAACTGTAAGCAATATATTTTGTTTTCTTATAAATTATCCAGTTCCGTGTATTTTGTTATAAGCAACAAAAACAGACTAACACAAATACCAATTAGGATGACTCAATGGAACATACAGTGAGGTAGGTCTATGGGATAAGAAGAGGTAGCAAAGCAGGCCCAGGAAAAGTGATTTTGGAGGGATGTTTCTGAGGAAGTGCATTGTTGCCATTCCCTAGGATGCACAATTTCTCCCAGAGGAGGGGCAGACACCCAACTGCAGGGCAAACTGTGGGCCTGAAGGGGAGGCCTGAGGAGCTGCCAGCCTATGTAGAGGTCAGAACAAGGGACTTGAGGACCTGGGAAGAAGACAAGGCAGTCGAGGGGTGATGGCCAAAGGGGAGATGAGAACAGGTGCAAACCCACACATTAGAAATATCTGAATGACAGGGACACACATTCACCATGGGCTGGGCACAGAAAGGCAGGCCGATGCAGATGAGAATGTGGCTGCCTTGTTTCACACCATGAGATGCCAGAGAACACCCAAGGAAGCTCCCCCTGAAAAAAGGCTCCCTCTGGGCCAAGCCTGCGACGCACTCAAGAGAGTGTGGCGCTGGGAGCGCAGCAGCGCTCCCACTGCGGGTTCGGATCCTATATAGGGATGGCCGGTGCGC